GGTTTGTGCGGTTGAACCACTCATAGTACCTCATTTGTTGGTGGCTGTATTTCAGTCTCATCACACACTAAAAGCAGCAGGGTGCATACTAAGAAGCTGCGTGCTGTAGCATTCTTCGTTCTACGAGAATTAATTTCCTCTCAAATGCAAGGATTTCTTGCATTCAAAAGCAATAGACACAAGGACCTTTCCATGCTGTGAAACTGTGAGGGCAGGCCCCACCTGAACGTGGTGCTACCCCTTTGCAGATAGAGTCTGTGATCCAGGTGGGTACGCAGGGAGAAACCGTGGCAAGAAAAGACACCAGAGAGGGAAAATATGCTTTTTTTTAGTAACTGAGATCCAGAGATCACAGAATCACAGAATCCCAGAATGTTCGGGGTTGGAAGGGACCTCTGTGGGTCATCTAGCCCAGCCCCCTGCCGAAGCAGGGTCACCTACAGTAGGTTGTAGAGGACCTTGTCCAGGTGGGTCTTGAATATCTCCAGAAGATGATGAGATGCTGAAGACCCGGTGATGAATGAGCTTGGCTCCCTGTCAGACTCCAAAACAAGCAGTGGCACAGCTGCTTTTTTCTGAAATCTGGCCCTACAGAAGAGAGACAGGGAGGACCCGAGCCATCTAATTCCTGTCACTGCGGCCATCAGACTTTCCTGAACCGAGCAAACACTGTTTTGAAAGTCAGTCTGTCCTTTCTGCTGCTGCTTCTCCTACGGGAGTGAAGTCCATGAGGGTTATGGGAACCACCAGTGGTGTCTGTAAGTCAGACTTTCATCCCAAATATGTTCACAATTGGTTTTTACTCACCTATTGTTGCGTACACCAGTTCAGAGCTTCTCCCATTAGCAAATCTGAAACCCTTTGTTCTTTGCTCAGTGTCACACACGGCACCAGGGATTAAGGCATCTTCTCCAGACCCCTCCTCAGGACCGGACCTGAGTGTCTTTGCGAGTCTCGTCCCCTTTGCTTTGCTGTGTGTGTGTCTGAGGCTGTGAACGGGGTTGTGCCATACGCAGCCGTCACGCTCTACAAAGCCTTGTCTCTGTAACGCAGACTGCGATAGCTGGTTGGGAGTGTTGGACCTTCAAGGTTTGAGGCTGCAGACCTGCCCGTCACGTCTCAAGCCCACGTCCTGGCCAGCCCTCCTGCTGCCGCGGGGGAGATCTTCTTCCCTTCCTCCAACCCTGAGTCTTCCTCTGGACCTTCTTCCCTTCTCCTGACCCTGCCTGGTGTGAGCGAGGTCAGGATCAGCCCAGACCCCTTTCCTTTGGCCCCTCTGCCTACTTTTCCACCAGTCCCACCACATCCCTCCCTTCCCCTCAGCCCTGCCACCCGAGCTCTGAGGCTCCTTCTTCCTGCTCTGGCTTTCCCACTCATTTCTTCTGCAGGCATTTTCTTTCCCAGCCAAAACTTTCCCTTACAGTATATCCAGTGAGAGGTTTTCTACCTGTTTCTTTCATCTCCTCCTCCACCTGTCCCATTTATGGTTCTTCAGCCATTCTTCTTGTGCCAAATTCAGACTTTTTGTGTCCTATCTCTCTTGCTATTTTGTGTCTTGTTCCTTCTTTCTCCCCACACCCTCTTTTCTCACCTTTCTGGAGGGGAGCGGAGGATTGGTTCTGGGGAGATGGGCTTGGTGCTCAATAGACTGTGGCTGGGAAGTGCCCCTCTCTCATGGCAGACCCCATGTGTGACCACGCATGTGCCAGCAGCTGTGCTTCATCTGATGTGCTGGGATAAAGCTAATTCCCTGTGACAGCATTAACCTCTGGCAGCAAGCGACAAGCTGATCTTGGTCATGTCCTCAGTTTACTGAGGGGCAAAGCTTCAGCCCTGCCGTCTCCCCTTGGCCACAGGGATGTAGCTTATCCTCAGGGTGGTGACCACAGATTCGCTGTGGTCTCCACGCAGCAGCCGTGGCCTGAGGATTGCGTTAGCTGCACCGAGCCAAGACTTTGCAAACATCTCTGGTGCTTCAAACTGCCACCGATGCTTCAGGATCGTGCTGCTGTGAAATGCCTCTGCCTGGGGCCGTGCTTGAAGGCTCAGATGACAACGGCTGCGCCTGAAGTCATGAGAGGCTGAACGTGTGTGCAGAGCTTACATGACCTGTGTGGGCTGTTTGTCCAAGGCTGATGCTGGAGTGAGGTAGGTGTGGGTGGTGGACGCCAAAATGTAAGGATCTAGATGCGAGTTGAGCATCCAGCCTCCTGCTGCAGCCAGTGGAGGTCTTGGCGTGGCTCCGTTCTCATGTGGAGGACCCCAGCACGACCAGAGATGCCCTTGAGCATCTGAGACGTCCACATGGGGCTGGTAGATGTGACACAGGACCTACAAGACACCTGTGTCCCTCTAGATCAGTGGCTGGAGATGAGGAGGAATAGAATAGGACATCTCAGAAAGTGTGTTAAAAATCGATGGAGCTTTTACACACAAAAGGTTGGTGGAACAAATTATTTCTTTAAAATGCCTGTGTTTCAAATTCAAGCAGCTTTAAGGCTTCAGTTACAAAAAAAGTGCTAAAATAAGTTGCAACTTTAAACACAATTTTACTTTTTTTTTCTTATCAATATTTTGGTAAACCTGAGAGGAACTCGCAACACATGAAGAAATCACCGAAAGTAGGTATTTTTTCCCACAAAAATGACCTCCTGACTTTGCTCAGCCTCTGCATGGGATTTTTGGTGTGATTTGGCAGTTGCTGGAGAACTGTGGTCGCTTGCAGTCTGTGCAGCGGGGAGCATAAGGACCATTTGTACTTGCAGGATAAGTTTTAAACTAAAACAGGGTAGGTTTAGGCTGGATATAAGGGAGAAATTCTTTCCAATGAGGGTGGTGAAACACTGGAACGGGTTGCCCAGAGAGGTAGTGGAGGCCCCATCCCTGGAAACATTCAAGACCAGGTTGGACAGGGCTCTGAGCAACCCAATCTAGTTAGCGGTGTCCCTGCTCGCTGCGGGGGGGTTGGACTAGATGACCTCTAGGGGTCCCTTCCGACCCAAAACTTTCTATGATTCTATGATTCTCTGATTCTATGATTCTCTGATTCTATGATTCTATGATTCTATGATTCTATGACAGCATGAGCTTTGCCACTGCTTTCACGTCGTTTTCTCTTCTCCTTGCCCATGGAGGCAGCTGGGCTGATAAACTTTATCTGTCTGTCCCATTACCAAGCTGGTCCTCATCCGCAGGAGCTGGGCTTTCTTCAAGGTGCCCGGGCACCTGAAGAAGTGGGTGCACCAGTGGGAGCCTGGCAGCCTCAGAGCAGCCTGTGTCCAGGATGCTCACCACCCTCCGAATCAGGGGGCTGGTCCAGGCCAGGGCACTGCTGGCTGAAACCTCCCTGGGAAAAGCTGGACCACCTATTCGTACCGATGGCTGAGGTTTGGTGCCCACCCTTCCCTGGCACTGGCTCCTTCTCTGGCGTGGGCAGCAGCAAGGGACGGTCCCAGGCACACATCTCCAGCCTGGCCAGGACAACGAGCATCATCTGCCCAGCGTCACCCTCGAGAGCAGTAGCTGTGCTTTTCTTGGTCCCTGGAGCAGCAATGCCACTGCAGCATCGATCCAGCTGCTCCTGCAGCTCTCTGAGCAACCTGCGCTGGCCCTGAGGTCCGACACAGCAGGGCATCACGTCTTCTTCTGCGCGGCAATCCCAAATACCTGCAACGTCTGCAATTCCAAACAAGACTTAGCGCGGTGGGACTGCTGCCTTGGAGATTTTATGCATTTTGAATGCTGTGCTCCACAATTACTCTCGTGGAAATATTTTTCTTTATTTACAGTCAAAATCTTCCCATGTTTCTTCAGATGTAGTTGCGCTGCTGAGCCCGTGGTATCCACGGCTGCCTCTGCTCAGAGGCCAATTTGTACTGAAATTATTCAGCCTGCAGAAAATAGTTCCTGCAGACTGATGTATTTCTAGCCCTACATATGGTGAGATTTCTGAGGGGCTGAAGGGAGGAATGGTGTCTGACAGTGTCCCCAGGTCCATCCAAGGAGGGCTGCTAAGCTGCAGAGCCTTCCTCCCATCCCCTGGAGGAGCATAGCCCACAGATTACCTCTCTCATGGCTGTGGGGAAACTCTTACAGAATCACAGAATGGTAGGGGTTGGAAGGGACCTCTGTGGGTCACCCAGCCCAGCCCCCTGCCCAAGCAGGGTCACCCAGAGCAGGGGGCACAGCACCGCGTCCAGGTGGGGCCGGAATATCTCCAGAGAAGGAGACTCCACAGCCTCCCTGGGCAGCCTGGGCCAGGGCTCCGTCACCCTCAGAGGGAAGAAGTTCTTCCTCATCTTCAGACAGAACTTCTTGTGCTTCAGTTTGTGCCCGTTGCCCCTTGTCCTGTCGCTGGGCACCACTGAAAAGAGCTTGGCCCCAAAATTAAAAAGGAATTACAAATTCCTTTTATTGCATTAATCACCAAGAGTGTTACGTATCACGCTCAATAATCTATTCAGAAGGTGGATTGCTATTTATACATATGTGCTAGGATATTTGCAAAAGTAATTTCATTGAGTTTCTGCGTCTGGATGCTCGGCACTTTTGACAAGTCAGACCGCTTTTTTTAGGACTCGTCACGGCTGTTTTTCCAGAGCTTGACTGTGTCTTGCCACAACCTGCAGCTACATCACGTCACCCCACCCAGGGCCCCGAGGACAGGAGATGCAAAGCAGCGGGGGTATAACTGTGCTCTTGGTGGGAGGGGAGGCAGAGCAGACACAGAGCCATGCGTCAGGGAGCTGCGAGTGCGTCTGCGGAGAGCCCAGCGCTCGTAACGTGTGTGGGGCTGGAGGATTGGGGGGACGGCATCCCAGGACACGTCCCCGCAGCTGGAGGGAACTCACCGAGCTGCTGAGCAGGGCACAGAGCGTCCTCCGTCCTCTGGGACCCTGCAGAGAGGGGCAAGTGTCCCCACTGCCCCGAGTGCGGCCAGGGACCTGTGTTCCTCTGAAGCCTGGGGAGCCGGTGAGCCGTTTGTGTTGTGGATTTGGGGCCAGAAGGATCTCTAAGATGTCGAGAGTCTGGCGCAGAGCTGCCAAATTCCCCGTTAATAAAGATCACGTGGAGACCCTTCCCTTGCCAGCTGGAGATCAGCCACCCTGTGACTGGGATTATGTGGTTCTGAGAGCTGGGGCTGCTGAGGGAGAGGACGGGGCAGCGTGAGCAGGGAGGATTGAACCACGCACGGGGTGATGTGCGTGGAGGCAACGCCAGCGCGGATCGCCCCGGTCAGTGCCCGCAGCTGGGCTGGGTCAGCTGCAGCATCCCACATCTGGCTCCCGCGGGAGAGCTGCCGATGTGCTCAGGCCATGCAAGAGAGAAATACTTTGATTATTTTCATTCTTTTGTTAGGAGAGAATGAATCACCGATGAAATCACTTTCTCTCCCACCCCGTATTTGTTTCCCTAACCTCTCTCCTGAAGGCTGGTTATGTATGGGGGAGGCTCCATCCCCTCTCCCTCCGCCCCACCAGGAAGAAACATCCTCGACCAGAGCCCTTGTGCTGGGGACGTGCAGGGCAAACCAGAGGAGCTTGCAGCTAAAGCCTTCTGCGGTGATGCCAACAAACTTCTGCAGACCTTTCTGTAATCCTTAGGTAGCTCTGTAGGAATAAGATTTTTTTCTAGGTTATAGCATTTAGTTGAAATTGGGATTAAAAGATTTTGGGAAAGAAGAATCCAAGGGACTGCTCAGAGATGTAGCCTCAGAGCTGTATTTGTACTCGTGCAGATTTATCGTGGCGATTAGATTAACGCTGAGAGGCTCTGCTAGCACAGAGCTCCTGGCTGCGCTGAGATTCCCACCTGCAGGTGCAGTGGATCCTCATTTATTTGCAGTTTAACATTTGACTTTTTCAAGAGATGACTAGCTTTTGGTGTGACAGCACAGAATATATGTGCTTATCAGCATTAATAATATTTTGTCGGTTAATATACCATATGTATTTTTATTTCATGCAATATTTACACTGAATTGTTCTAAATCATTTACAGAATTAGATAGTTATTATTTTGACTATTTTTATTTTTACAGAATCCACTGTCTTGTTTTGTTTCTGTGGAGCAGGCTCCTTAGGCTTTCTTGGTTCAGGATATTTTAGACATGTCTCTGCCTCTCGCTGAGTGTGAACAGTGAATCAACTCTGCTGTTTAAAATACAATTGCTTTCTCATGCATGGAGTCAATATTTTGGTATGCAGCAACCTCACAGTTTTGTTTTTAAGTACTTGCATCACTTTCTCATCTTGGCTGTGTTATGGATAATTCATATTTTGAGTTTTGATATTTAAGAGCTGACTGTTACTGCACAAGCTGCTGAAGAAAAGTAGCATCCCATTTTAACCTGTGTGAGTCTGGGTCTGACCCAGCCTCCAGTGCTCTTCAGACCAGTCCAGGGCAGCAGTGCATCCCTTTCCTCAGCTGGTGGCAGAACTCCACCTCACACAGGCATTCTCCTGACCCAAAGATCTGTCCAAGTGCCTGGTTAAATTTTATTTCTGCTAGATTTGCACTGGCAAGGAGGTGCAAAGCAAGCTGAAGTGGGTCTGAGAACCAAAAGAAAAGGGAGAGGAAAGTTTGGAGATAAGGAAGGAACATGGGCAGCCAACTTCAAACCTAGAGCTAATTTTGTTCCCTAACCTGGTGTGACTCCAGGTACCTTAAAACTCCCAGTTACCCCCTCTGCAGTTCCTGACGTTTGAGAACATCTCGTGCATCCCTGCAAACACTTGACCTTTCCTCTCTTGACCCTGACTTCTTCCTTCTACTCTGAATTTACAGATGATCAGTTTAAGGTCTTTGTGCAATAAGGGTTGATTCTATCTCCATTCACTCTGGTCTAAATTGGAAGTACTTGGAAGGAAAATACACTTACATCGTGTTAAAATCAAGTGAGGAGAAAATCGGGACATCGCCATTTGCACATAATAGGAGTAGAAGTACATGCTGCATTACATTGCAGACCACGGTTCTTCATAACGGGGGTTCATACCTCTGGCTGTGGCTATCAGCAGATCAGAGAAGGTGATACAAGGCATATGGTAGTGATGGAAGAGCTTAAGCACCTAAAACAACGTTCTGCAGTGTCTTCTGCCTTTGCTTTCAGGTGAAACATGGCACCACCCAACCTTACCAGCTTGACGCCAGCCACATTCATCCTGGCTGGTATCCCAGGCATGGAGAAGTCACACATCTGGATCTCAGTCCCATTCTGCTCCATGTATCTGGCTGCCCTTCTAGGGAATGGTGTCATGTTGTTTGTCATAAGGACAGAGCGTAGCCTCCACCAGCCCATGTACCTCTTCCTGTCCATGCTGGCTATTGCTGACCTGATGCTGTCGACCACGACTGTGCCCAAGATGCTGGCTCTGTTCTGGTTCAGCGCCGGGGAGATTTCCTTCGGCGCCTGCCTGACCCAGATGTTCTTCCTGCATTTCAGCTTCTCGGCAGAGTCGGTGATCCTGCTGGCCATGGCGTTCGATCGGTTTGTTGCCATCTGTTACCCACTGCGGTACGCGGCGGTGCTGACCCCGTCAGCTGTTGTCAAAACCGGGCTGGTGGCTTTACTGAGAAGTTTCTGCATCATTTTCCCTTTTATATTTCTTTTGAAAAGGCTGCCGTTCTGCGGGCACAACGTCATCCCACACACCTACTGCGAGCACATGGGCATCGCCCGGCTGGCCTGTGCCGACATCTCCGTCAACATCTTGTACGGCCTCGCAGTGCCTTTTGCAGCAATAGTGGTAGATGTTGTACTCATTGCTGTCTCCTATGTCTTAATTCTTCTGGCATTATTCAGACTGCCTTCTAGGACTGCCCGTCACAAGGCCTTCAACACCTGCGTCTCTCATGTCTGTGTCATATTACTTTTCTATATTCCTGCTTTTTTCACTGTTTTAAAGCACTGCTTTGGTCGGGAAATCCCCCACCACGTCCACATTCTGCTGGCCAACCTGTATGTGCTCTTCCCCCCGCTGCTGAACAAAAAAGTGCTCTTCCCCCCGATGCTGAACCCCATCGTGTATGGTGTGCGGACACAACAGATAAAAGAGAAGGTTGTGAAAGTGTTCATCTGCCCCAAGAGTCGTTTACTGGAAGGATAAGAGTGAGCTGTCACTATCGGAAAGCGGTGAACACCTTGGTGGGACTCCAAGCTCCCCACCCCAAATGCTCTCTTTGTGGTGTTTCAGGGAACATGCCTAAGTCTTCCGCACTCACAGTCAAACACAGAACACCCAACATCCCTCACTTTCCCCAACAGCTGGCAGAAAATGCAAGACAAAAGACAAAAGTCAGGATCTCTAATGGGCTGTGCAAGGCGAGTGATCAAAGAAAAGAGAACCTGCCTCAGATATGTCACTTGTGCATAATCCCCTACGAGGTGTAGGCGGGCGGCTTTGTAGTGTAACAATAAATTTATGTCCCAGACATTTTCTCTGGAGTCGAGCAAAAAGATGTGTAATGAACTGGTTCTTCTGAACCACAGGTGTGTAACGAAATTCACTTCAGGAATTGCTTCTTTATTACAATTCATAGTATTGAAAAAGTCTCCAAAAGGAATAACATGGAAATAAAAGCAAGTGTTGCACGTTAGCATGCGTGGGGTCCCTTTATTCCTTAACTGTATTATCTGACCTTACTTTGAGTAAATATGTAGGTGAAAAACTGTTCCCAGAAGAACACCTGAAACTATTTTTTAATAAGATAGGTGATCATAGCAGAGGGGGGTGCGTCAGAGGCCTCAGATCAGGTATCACAGCAGCACCTTTGGCTCCAGAAGTGTCTCTGCTCAGGCAGACTCCCAGAGCTCGGAGTGTCCTGTCCCCATGGACCCCAAAAAGCTGTCCCTATGAGAAAGCCACTGCCTCTGCCCTTTTTAAAGAAGAGCTGAGAGCTCAGTGATGGATCAGAGTGAGATGGAAAGGGGCGATGAGGTGGGATTGCAGCTGCAGAGAAAGATAAGCTGCTTTCTTGTGCTGAGGAAGCACAGGAGAGTGATTGCCCTTGGCCTTGGGGCTGAACCTGCGGGACAGAAGCAGCATCTCCTGGGGGTTTCAAAGGAGGAGATGCAGCCATGCCAGAGCGGAATGGTTCCTCCTTTCCATCTCTCCAGGTGTGTGCATGGTCAGAGGTGAACAGCCTGGTGAGGCCACCGAGGTACCAGACACCCTCCCTGTGGCTAAAAATGAGCAGCTTGAAAACTTCACCCCGGTGGAAGGTCCTTTGCAGATGTTCGTTGCTAACCAGATGTTTTTGCTGATGCCCAAACCCCAACAGCACCTCGGGGAGCTCAGTGCTGGCCATTGGTTTTGGGGTGCAGCTGCCAGAGCAGGAAGCCAGTGGAAGTCTCGGTGCCTCAGCAAAGTGTCCTGCCTTTGGTGGCATGTGCCATCACTGCTGGCACTCATAACAAGCAAGAGAATAAACCACATTTTGGTTGAATTTCATCAGTCAAAATAAGTCCTGTCCGGCATCTGAACTAAAGAAAGGTAATTGTTTAAAGGTAGTTTGCATATGACAATCTTACAAGCAAACTTGAAACGTTTTATCATATGATCCTGAAGAAACTAAAATAAATTGTGTTCTTGGGAATATATTCCCTTTATCACAGAAGTCCATGGGGTTGCATAAAAGTGGAAGAAGATTCTGTAGCTGCAGGTGAGTTGGAGTAGCCTTTTCAATGAAGAGAGATACTGTTGTCTTGCTATAGAGGGAGCTTTCAGCTGGGGGGTTGGAACTAGATGACCTTTAAAATCCCTTCCAACCTGTAGGCCAAAGTCCTCTTTTTAGGTTTAACAGTGTATGTGCTAAAATGGGAGCATTACACCTGGACCTCATCACAAAAAGACATGAAGTGTGTGTGCAAAACTGTCCTGGAAAACCTTTGCCTCCCGCAACCAAGGGCCGATCCTCTAGTGAGACATGAGCACTGACCTTCCCAGCAGCACCAAACTTTTCCTGAGGAAACAGTGTGTCTGATGGTGGAGTACCAAATTCTTTGGGGCCAGACCTCACCTTACATTTTCTTGTCATTCATCATATATTTTTTTCTGTTTTTTATGCAGAAAGTCATACCAAAAATGTGTACTGTTAACTACTCTTAGCTTGAAATTATATGCAACAAAATACCTCTGCTCTGTGTGTACGGCGTACTGCACACCGGGGAAACGACCCCACTTTTGGGACAACACAATGAAAATTCACTGTATCCAGGTGCAAAATTCACAATGTGTGGCCTAAGGCTTCAGCGAAGTTAGCCACTAATGTCAAGCAAGTCAGTTATACAAACATATATAAATATATATATGTGCCGGTGTATGTATATATACACGAGTAGTATACCAGAACACAAAACAGTGACTCTTCCATTTTGACTCATTTTTTCTATAACAGGCTAAAATATCCATCCTGCTAGAACTGAAGTGGCTCAGGTGGATCCGGACTGGGAACATAAGAGTGGAGGGGCAGAATCCCCTCAGCCCAGAGCACGGGTGGCCTTCTAGGCTGCAAGCACACATTGCCAGGTCATGTCCAGCTTTTCATTCCCCAGCACCCCCAAGTCTTTCTCGGCAGGGCTGCTCTCCATCCCTTCATTCCCCAGCCTGTACTGATAGCGGGGGTTGCCCCGACCCAGGTGCGGGGCCTTGCACTTGGCCTTGTTGAACTTCATGGGGTTCTCATGGGCCCACCTCTCAAGGTGGCACGTCAACTGCATCACTCACCTTGGCGTCATCAACAAACTTTCTGAGGTGCACTTGATCCCACTGTCCATATCGCTGACAAAGATGTTAAACAGTGCTGGTCCCAATACCAACGCCTGAGGACCCCCGTAAAGAAGATGTTTGCCTGAAGCAGCAGTCTTGTTCAAGCATTGCTTAAGATGCAGTAAGAATAATTTTGCCATTCCTGGTCTTCTACTAATACGCAGGGCTGATTGCACAAAGTGTGCTGCAAGTAAGAAATCTGAAAGGGCAGAGTCGGGCTAGTTCAGAAGGGAATCTGACAGCCTGTGGCTTGCAAGGGAGCTATTTTGTTTTGCTGTTTGAGCATCTTCCGTTGTCTTGGATCCACAGAAATATTTCAGGCCATCTTTCAGCCCTGACTGCTGCTGGTTCATTTGGAATGGGGAGGAGAACAAAGATATGTGACTCCCTGAGTATCCCGTCTCCTCAGTGGGGTTTGGGTGGAGCGAGGCTACCCAGAGCTGTTTGTGACTGCCACTAGCAAGACTTCCAGGGAAAGCTTGGTTAGCAACACGTCAGGTTTCAGTTTTGACAGAGGAGGCCACATTACCCTTCTGGATATCTTTAGGATATGTTTCCTGGTGTAATGCAACCCCCATGGCTGGCCTAAAGAACTGGAAGTTGCTCAGGGAACTGCAGTTAGGAGCAGGAAGGGGAAAGGGAGGCAGAATATGAAATACCAATAAGATTCAGTCATAGTCTTGAAGTACATGGGCATGGGCAGGAGGCTGAGGGTGGGAACATGGGGTGGTGAAAGCCCTGTCTTCAGAAACAGTTCTTGGACCCTCTGAAGCTGTTTGTGCAGGCCAGCATGGTGATACCTGCAAGGTTGTCCTACGAGTGATGGATCACATGGAACCTGCAGGACTACACCCACTCCAGCTTCAGGTCAGGAGGAGAAACCCTGAGGAGGGACAATCCCATTTTGGTTCTCTCCAGCAAGGCCAGGATGGGGCATAGCTCATGGGTGGATTGAAAGCCATGGCCAACGGTGCCTGAGCAACCTGAAGGGCCGCATCAGCAGCATTATGGATGACACAGGGGCAATGCTGGTCGTGGAGGGAGGA